GACCTTGGAGGCTAATGTGTGCATACCCAGCTTGGCATTGGGGGTCAGTGTTCTTAGAAACATCCACAGCTACTAGTTTTGTTTTGAGAAGGAAAACGGTTTTGAGCACGAAAGCTCCAGTACATAACCCACACTCCCCAATGGAGAGGAAAAAGATGGGAAGGCAGGCTGAAATCCAACAGCTGTGGCTCAGCAGGAACCTCTAATTCTGGGACAACAGGGACTATTATCATTGAGGAATGGGATGGGATCTCTCATTAAGAGCAACTTTCCCATGAAGCTGAGAGAAAGGGAGGTCATGGAGACAAAAGAAATGCCCCCTGATCCTGTCTGTCATTCAGGACCTTGCTTTTGTCTATCCGGAGTTGAAGTTCTTTACTAAGCAGGTTATAGGAGGGGGAAGGACAGAGAGAAACACCAGAGCTCCCAGCATAGTAACCTGCTCCATTCTATATTGGAATTTAAAATGCATGTGTGTATGTTTATGTTTACATACATGTATGGTATGTCATATGCATATGTATGTAGGCTTGTGGGAGTATGCGTATATTTAGATACATGTGTGTAAGTAGGCATCTAGATACATGTGTATGTGTGTATAGATAGGTATGTATGTGTAAATTTGTACACATATCTAGATATATTGCAGTGTGTGCGCACATGTATAGGCTTGTGTATGCACATGCACATGTATAAGTATGTGTGCATTTATATTCACTACTCTTATGTATGTGTCTAGTACATGTGATATGCTATACTTATATGAGAAACAGTGTTGTGTCGTAATAGTTCACATTTATATAGTGCCTAAAGGTTTGCAAAGTATTTTCCACTTTACGTTTATTACCTTAGGAGCCTAGATTCAGAGGACAGAGGGCTCTTAGAAGTCCTTCATTTTACAGATGAAGAAACTCAGTTCCCGAGAGGCTAAAACCACTTCCCATCATCACATAGGTAGCAAACTGCTGAGCCAGGATTCAGACATAGGTTCTCTGAATTCAGATTCAGTGGTGTTTCTGTAGCAGCACACTGCCTCCTTTGAGGAAACTGATCACCTGAGATGGTAAGGTGACTTTTTGGTGGTTATATAGCCAGCAGGCATCAGAGACAAGATACAAACTTGGGGTTTGTTTTTTTTTCCAAGATTTTAATTTTCATTTCTTGTTATTCCAAATTTGACAAATCCCAACAAACATGAACATTTCCACATACAAAGAATAGAAAAAGAGAGTTGTTGTATTTGGAACCTCAAATCTGTTTATCTGTTGTGTATAGCTTGCTGTTGTTGGGATTTTGTTTTGTTTAATTTTGTTTTGTTTTGTTAGTATGTAACAAATTCAACCAAACCCAGGCTTTTCTGACTCTGAGTCCAGCATTTTATCAACTAGGGCTCATAGGGTTCTAAGACTGGAAGGAAACTCAGAGGTCAGCTAGTCTAATCCCCTCATTTTTCAGATTAAGAAACTGAGGTGCCAGGGAGATAAAGAGACTTTCTCAAGCTCATACAGGGAGTAAGTGGTAAGAGCCAGGCTTCAAACTTGAGTCTGGTGATCCCAAGTTCAAGATTCCAAGTTTGAGGGTTTTTTAAAACATGGCACTGCCTAGCTGTGCTGATTTTCCATATATATATATATATATATATATGGATGTGTGTATGTATATGTATATATATATGTATATTTACATATATGCCTATTTATCTGTGTATATTTCTATAAATGTGCACATTTCTATTGATGTTTCCATGCTATTTGGGAGCTGACAAGCAAGTCTCAGAATCAATACAGAATAGCTCCAGAAACTACTTAAAAAAATGCATTGTTTGGCATGACAGCTTCAGAACTCTAGTTCTGAAAAGGAGGGCGACGAGATGCTTGGCTCCTTAATAAAGGGTCCTTGTCTGCCAAGGAGCTATTCTCCTCCCCTCCTCCCCCAAGCACACAGCTCCACTCGACATTTGTCTTCAATAGCCCCCATCAATCCTTCCAGCAGCCAAACCTTGACCTCCAGTGAATGGGGGTGGGGGAGGGGAGAGGAGGGAAGCCATCCCTGGGGTCCAACAATGATTTGACTATGGCTCCTAGTGAAACCCTTCCCCCTCAGAGACTACAAATAAGCCCACATGCCCAGACGCCTTATCCCATGCTATCCATCTTCAGGGATAGGGATTTAGAGCATCGAATGCAGAATGAAAAGCAGAAACGGGGAGGACGCCAGAGACTTTGTTCCTATGCTGCCAGAAAAGTTCCAATCAAATATTTATTAGTTCTAGTCTTGGGCTTGGCTGTCTGTGAGCATATTTATAAGGGAAGCAGAGGGGAAGAAAAAGATGTCTTTCAACAGACAGAGGTGCTAACAGTCTCAGAGCCCAGCTGCTCTTCCATGACTCATAGAGATCTCCAAACTGCCCCCTTCTCCTCCCCGCAAAGGCACGTGGTTTCTCTCCTGTTTTGCAAGATGCTTTGGTCATGGGACTTCGGGAACCCTACCCCATGCCAGGGGACGGGGCTGGGGCTCATGAGTCAGACTGTTAACTCTTCAAGTGGGCACATATGTTTGTCTTGAAGTTGTGGAATCACTGATTTAAGGCAGGAAGGGACCTTGAAGGCAATGAAATCCAAGTCCCTCATTATACTGATAAAGACACTAAAGTGACTTGCCCACGGTCACACAGTCAAGGGGAGGTGAGATTTTAACTCAGGTCTTCAAGTCCAGGGCCCCATCCACTGTGCCATATTGCCTTTCAAAGACCAGGACAAGTCATCCATCATTACTCAGCAGGGCTTAGCAGACTTGCCTGTGATTTCTAAGTACAGAGTCACTGGGTGGCTAGGTTCTCACTTTTCTCCCCCGTGCATGGGAGGAGAGCTACCCAAGAGGATCCACGCCTTCCATGCCAGGCACCAAGGTCACTCCAAATGGAGGCGATGAAAAGCCAAAGCCAAAGGGTGATGTTTTCTCCCAGTAAGACATAAGTTCCTTAAGAACAGGGACGATTTAATTTTTGTCTGCATCCCCAGAACTTAGCACATAGTAGGTGCTTAATAAATGCACATTGAATTTCATTGATTTGAAGGTAGAACCATAGCTAGGAATTCCTGTGCTGAGCAAATTCAGCTGACATGAGAATACAAAGCAAATGATATGAGGATACAACGCAAAGTCACGGATGAAGGCTGGGAAAGATATGAGGTGGGAACCCAAGACACAGTTGCAGTACAGTTTGGTCAGAAAAGAGGGCAGCCCATTGGTTTTCAAGTGGGATGAGAGGAGGGAAAATGTCACAGGGAGAAGAAGATGTAATAGTAGGCAGTCAAACAGACATTTATTGAACGTATTAGAAACAGTACTAAGAACTGGGGATACCAAAAGAAAAGGTAGAAACAGTCCCTTCCCTGAAAAAGCTGACATTCAGGGCCCAGGAAATGGGTGCCAGTAATGCTGATGGACTCTTGGTGGAGGACAACTGAGGCTGGACAAGGGAAGGTGGGCTGTAGTACAGGGTGGCTCTGAACTGGTCAAGGACAGAGAGGCTTTGAGACTCTGGCCCAGAGAACTTACATGGGAAGGAAGTACACCCCACCCCAATCTGGAGCCCTGGGAAAGGCTCCAGTCACTCCACCCTGGTGACAGCTCTGTCTGAGAGGGAGATTTGGGGCAGATGGAGTCAACAGGAGGTAAGCAGGGAGCCTGGTGCCCCTAGAGGGAGGCAGATTCCTTGCTCGGATGGGAAGGGAGCCAAGAGTGCTTAGCTCTGGTATGTGGGAGGCAATAAGGCATGTGCACAGGTCAAGCAGTGGTGATTGGAGCCAAGGTCATTTCCCACTGCATCCGGGGCCATCTCCAGTCTTCCTGATCCATGTCTGGCCACTGGATCCAGATGGCTCCGGAGGAGAAAGTGAGGCTGGTGACTTTGCATAGCCCTGCCTCACTTCAGTCCAATTCACTTGCATGTCATGGCATCACCTTCCTGATGTCTTGGTCCTCTTCAAGAATGAAGGACGAACAGCAACCTCTGTGGGAACAAGAACAGGAAACCAGGGCCACGAAACAGCAGGGTGGGTAGGAGACACCATTTAGTATACTACAGATCCATTCCACTCTGTTCTCATCTGTGAAATAGGATGCTTAGTTTACAATCGTAGACAGTGTGTGTGGTACATTGGAAAGGATGCTGGGTTTGGAGTTAGAGGACCAACTCCCAACCCTACATGTGTAACTTTGAGCATGATACCTGACTTCTTTCTGCCTCAGTTTCCTCCTCTGTAAAAGAGTGAATTGGTCTCTGAAATTCTTATCCTATGATCCTGTGATTTTCCTAGAAAGAGAGAGAGAAAAGAATATAAAAGGGGAAGAAGAAAAGAAGAGAGGAAGGAAGGAAGAGAGGGAGAAAAAAGAAAGGGAGGAAAGAAGGAAGGAAGGGAGGGAGGGAGAAAAAAAGAAGGGAGGAAGGAAAGAAAGAAGGAAAAAAGACATAGAGTCAGTGGGTACGCAGATCATAGTAACACATCTGTAGCCTAGTAGAAAAGTTTGATGGAAAGTGCCTTAGGCCCAGAAAAGCTAGGAGTCATGAAGCTAATAAGAATCATGGGTAAAATTTGAGCCCAGTTGTCCAGACTCTAAGCTCAATGCTCTATGCACTATGCCACATAAATAGATACATATATAAATGAATGAACATAAATAAATGAACAAACAAGTAGATAGATGAATGAATGACTCAATGAATGAATAGTAGTATTATCTGAGTGGTCATACAGCATAGTAGTAATAGGGAGTGGGCCCTTCAGTCAGGAAGACTCAGGCTGAGATTCTAGATGTGTGGCCCTTAGCCAATCATTTGCCCTTTCTGAGCCTTAAGCACCTGTCTAAGACTGTAAGTTACAAGTGGGTTGAAATTTGCATTGTTGGAGGGGTTCCCACACTGAGGAAATCACAGGTTTTTGCAATACTGAAGTCCTGTGCAGCTCTCCAGGTATCTGGGGAAATGGTACGAGGAAATGGTGTCTGGAGGTCAGGTCTCTGGAGCAGCAGAAAACCAAAGAGATGACTGGAAAGAAATGTAACACCCCAAAGAAGAAGGGAGTAATGGAGAGTTACCAGCTTGGAGTTCTGACTCAGTCTTTCTCCTCCAGCCAGCACAACCTTACCAGAAGATGGTGTGACCACAGCAGTCTCCAGTGACGGGCATTCTTATGGTTCTGATGATGCATCGACGTCGGTGGGTATCTCCAGTCTCATGCCATCTCATTTTCTTGCCAGGCTTAATTCTAGGAGCTGAAGGCTGGGTTGAAGTGCAATTTTAGAAAGCAAGGAAGTGGGTGGCTCTCTAAGGGGGTTTGGGGGAAGGGGTTGAGAGAGTTATCTTCCAGTATCTGAAGAGTGACAGCAAAGCCTAGCGGCTAGGGCATGGAGCTTGGAGTCAGGATGGCCTACCTGGCTTCAAATCCTCCCTCACATACTTGCTACCTGTGTGGCACAGGTAAGTCTCTCTGTCTGTAATGTCTCTGCCTCAGTTTCTTCATCTGTAAAATGAAGAGGTTGAACCCTATGGCCTCTAAGTCCCTTCCAAATCTAAATCCTATGAAGGACTGTGAAGCAGAAAGAGGAAAATATTTGTTCCTTCCAGTCCAAGAGGGCAAACTAAGGAGGGTGGGGGAAAATTGCAAGGAGGCAAATTTAGATTTGATGCCGGAAGAAAAACAACTTCTCAACGATCGATCAGCATTTATGTCATTTATTTATGTCACCTATTTTTTAAATGTCACCTGTCATCCTACAAGTGTAGTGCTAAGTGCTAACGATCTAGGTATGAACCAATAAACCAATCCCTCTGTAGAAAGAGCTGACATTTTACCAGGGGAGCCAACAAGTATACATAAACACACATACACACACACATATATAGATACATATATATATACATTTATATGTGTGTTTGCACGTGTTTGTGTATAAATACATACATACATACATACATGTGTGTATATCTGCATCTCCTGGCTGTTCCACAGACAAGACCCTCCATCCCTTGACTCAGGACATTCTCTCTGGTTGTCTTCCGTGCCTTAAATGCTCTACCTTCTCCATTTTGACTACTGACTTCCCTGGCTTCCTTTAAGTCCCAACTAAAATCCCACCATCTACAAGAAGCCTTCCCCCATTCCACTGCCTTCTCCCTGTTAATTATTTCCTATTTATCCTGTCCAGAGCTTGCTTTGTGTATATTTGTTTCTATGTTGTCTCTCCCATTAGATTATAAGCTCTTTGAGGGCAGGGGTGTCTTTTGCCTTTTTTTTGTATCCCCACTGTTTAGTACAGTGCTTGACACAGAGTCCAAAATATGAAGTTTGGATTCAGTCAAAGGGCAGCATTGAGGACCTGAAGGGCCACATGTGGCCTCGAGGCCGTGGGTTCCCCATCCCTAGAGTAGGCACTCAATAAATGTCTATTGATTGAATGAACAAATACAAATATGTACAAAATCGTTTGGGAGGGAGGGCACTAGTAGTTAGGGAAGTGAACCAGGAAAGGCTTCATGTAATGGGTAATGCCTCAGCTCCATCTTAAGGATGAGAGGGCCTCTGAGGCTTGGGAAAGGTGACAGTGCATTCCAGGCCTGGGGGACAGCCTGTGGAAAGGCACTGAGTGTGGACATGGGGCTGTCCCAAAGTAGAATGGGCTGCCTCGGAGTTAATAGGTTCCTCCTCTTTGGAGGCCAAGTAAAGGCTGTGTTGTAGATGGGTTTGCTTTCAGGTGTGTGGGGTAGAATAGAAGACCACCGAGATTCCTTCCACTTCTGGAATTCTGGGGTAACTATCTGCATAGATCTCAGAGGAGTTCCAGGCTCGGAAGGGATTTTCCAGGGGCTGTGATTTGTTCTTCCTGCCCATAATTATTCACTGACTTTGAACTTTAGGGAGGGAAGGGGAGGGGTCTAAGTTTAATTGTGAGCCCATGACCCCTAGTCTTCTCTCACCCACCAGTGGATCCAAAGCGGGACCTGGGGGGCAGTGCCCTTCCATAAATTTCAGGGCTTACCTTTGGTGATTTACCGTCTGAGTCCAACTCGGGGAGAGAGGTCCTTGACTGTTCACATTTCACATTATCCTGAGCCACTGCGTAACCTTGGCGTGGCTGCATAACTGGAACCCACACTGAATTCCTCGGCATCTCAAGTTGGCTCAAAGAACCTCTGCCCTCCCCATGGGGTTGATGGAGCAACAAGAGTTTACATATTTTACGGAGAGGACACTCCCACTGCCTTCCAAACTGAACAGTCCTCTCAAGAATCAATGTGTGGTCCAATGGAGAGAACCTTGGCTTTGGAGTCAGCAGACCTGAGTTCAAATCTCAGCTCCGTCACTTACTACCTATGTGACCTAGACAAAACACTTACCCTCTCTGGGCGTCCAGATTTTCTCACCTTTAAATTGAGGGGGTTGGACAGGACAACTTCTGAGGTCCTTTCCGGCTTGAAATTCATGATCCTGTGACCTGGGTACAAAACCCAGTTCTTTCACTTACTCCCTGTGTGACCTTAGGCAAGTCATTTTCTCTTTGGGTTTATTCATCTGTCAATGAAGGGGTCAGACTAGAAGGCCCTTCCAGTCTTACATCCCTATTCCTATAACCTGGATTAGGATTTTAGCTCTGCTAAACCTATTATTACCTATGTGAACTTGCGTAAGTTGCCTTTCTGGGCTTCCAGGTTTCATCATTCATAAAATGAGGAAATTGGATCGGGTGGACCTCGAAGGTCCCTTCCGACTCTGATCCCTACTCCTTTAATTTCTCCTTCCCAGTGCTTTCAAACGGTCAACAAATAATGGAACCCTTCTCTGTACAAAGTACGGTGGTGGGTATTCTAGAGAAAATCAAATATAAAATCCTCTATTTGGTGTTCAAAGCCCTTCCTAACCTCCTGCCCCCTCTACCTACATTTCCAGTCTTCTTATGCCTTACATCACCCCGTTCGTACCCTGATCCAGTGAGGCGTGGCCTTCTTGCAGTTCCTCAAACAAGATCCTCCATCTCCAGACTCCAGACATTTCCCCTCACTGTCCCTCATTCCTGGAATGCTCTCCCTCCTCATTTCTACTCGTGGCTTCCCTGGCTTCCTTCAAGTCCCAGTTAAAATCCCCCCTTCTAAGGAGGCCTTCCTCAATCCCTCTGAATTCCAGTGCCTTTCCTCTGTTAATTATCCTCTATTTATCCTGCAAGTAGTTGGTTTATACATAATAATTTACATGTTGTCTCCCTCATTAGACAGGGAGCTCCTTGAGGCCAGGTACTGTTTTTGCCTTCTTTGTATCCCTAGTACTTAGCATAGTGCCTGGCACATAGTAGGCACTTAAATGTTTGTTGACTTGACATTTTATATAATTTTTTGTGCTTCAGTTTACCTTTATTTCTCACAGAACACGACCAAGATTAAAGGTCTGAGTTTTCTCAAACAAAATTAGCTTTTACAGAGACCAAGCTTGAGGCCACTGAAATGTTATCAAATACTGTGGATTATGCTACAAGTGTCTTGTCCTCTGAGCATTATGAGACAAGATGCATTTCCACAGACAGCAAGCCTGTAGTAATGGAAATGTTCTGAAACGGTTTCCTTTGGCTTGATATTTTCAAAATGTCAACGGTCCCTGCCCTCAAGGAGCTTACAATCTAGCTGAGGAAGAACATCATGAAAAGACAAAATAATCTTATGCTAATGGTTCTTTTGTTAGAATTGTTGTACTGGCAGATGTGTGATACAGATGATAGATGCCATTGAAAGTTCTGGCTGAGGTGATACAGTCAGTGGAACTCAGGCCCCAGGCATGAACAGTGGTACAAACAAAAGTCTCCTACTTACTGGCCTTTTTCCTGTTTTCCCACCTGCCCCACAGCTGCCCCCAAGAACTGTAAGACCCCACCACACCCCAACATACGATGATGATAAATCCACTCCAGAGCCCACAGTCCACAGCAGAGAGAACTCCACGGACTCCAGGGTTATAACTGACCATCCTAGCGGTAAGAAACCAGTTTATTTGTTTGAAAAAAAAAACCCCAATATCAATTATGTACTTGCTATAAAGCTTCAGTTATGTACTTGCTATAATAGGTAAAGGGAAGCCGAGTGGTACAATGGACAGAGCGCCAGGCCTGGTGTCAGGAAGACCTGATTTCAAATCCAACCTCAGACACTTACTAGCTGTGTGACCCTGGGCAAGTCACTTCACCCTGTTTGCCTCAGTTTCCTCATCTGGAAAATGATCTGGAGAAGGAAATGGCAGACCACTCAAGTTTCTTTGCCAAGAAAACTCCAAAATGAGGTCACGAAGAGTTGGACACAACTGAAATGACTGAGCAGCAACAATAATGTATAAGATGTTTTGCTAGGTCCTAGGCATACAGAGACAAAACCAAAATATCCCTATCATTATTCCAATGGGACAGACATCAGGTTCCTCATTTGTAAAAATTTGCCTCCCACTATTTGATCCTCACTACAACCCTGTGAGGTAGGCAATTCAGGTGTTAAGATAGTATAATTCCTAGTGTCCGGCACATAGTAGGTGCTCATCTGTTGGTTGATCATGCCCATTTTATAGAAGAGCAAACTAAAGCCCAAGAATCCTAGAATAAGAATTGGAAGAGACCTTCAAGGTCATCTAGTCCAACCGTCTCATTTTACAGATGAGGAGACTGAGGCTCAGAGAGGTTAAATGATTTGTCTAAGGTCATACAAGTAATAAGGAGCTGGTCTTTGAACATAGATACTCTGATTCCAGAGCTAATGGTTCTTTTTTTTTTTCTTTCATAGCACCAAACTGCCCTCCACATGCTGTGATTTTTCCCAAGGTCTCAGTTAGAAAACGGTAGGACTGAGAATGGACCCCAAGTCATAGGATCATAAGATTGTAGTTTTAGAATTGGAAAGGACCTCAGTATCTTTCTAGTCCAATGATCCTCCCTACCCCAACTACCCTTTCTCTTCTGTTGGTAGAAATTCTCTCACTGGAAATTCCCTAGACTAGGGGTCAGCAAGCCATCCTATGGTTTGAGGGCCAAATCCAGCCATCTCTTTTTGTTTGGGAGTTAAGAATAGTTAAACAAACCAATAAATAACATAAAACTTTATTTTAAAATGTAAAAAACATTCTTAAAGAGATAGGATAGATTTGCCCTGTGGGCAGTAATTTGCCAATTCCTGCACAGACCAATGAAATCACAGTTCAAAAAGTATAACAATATGAGGAAAGAGACAACACTAACAACTTGGGGTAGGCTATCTCAGGAAAAGCTTCCGGAAAAAAAATGTGACTGGCCTTTATATAGAGCATTAAAGTCTGCAAAGTGCTTTACATGTATTCTCCCATTTGAGCCTCTCAACAGCCTTGGGAAGTCAGAACTACAGATACCATTTATACCCATTTTACAGTTGAGGAAATTGAAGTTCAGAGTGGTTGCAACTTCTCCGTGGCCACACAACTAGTGTCAGAAACTGGGAATTGAGCCTAGGTCTTCCTGATTTCAAATCTGGCATGATGCACTGCTCTGCAGGGAAAGGCACATGGGCTGAACCTTAAAGGGAACTGGGGTCTTTTGAGAGGAGGCATTGAAGAAGGTGTGCGTTCCAGGGCAGCCACTCTTAGGTACATGGAGGTTGGCCCATTTTGACTCCGATCTTTCATGTTGCTTGGCCACAGACCATCTTCACTCAGGTATGAATGGAATAATGATACTCCAGGGTCTCTGTCAATTGTTCAGATAGACCACACCTCCTCAGGCCAATTGAAGATTCTGGAGGGAACAGGTCTGCTGCCATCCATGTGTAGACAGCCTAAATCTAAAGGATCCTTACTTTCCCTTTTGTATAGGCAGCAGGAACCAAATTGATGGATTTACATTGGCTCACAGAAAGCAGAAACCCTGTCTTGGTTAATCTGTTTCCCCCATCTGCAAATAACGTGAAAACTCATCCCACAGAGATGTTAAGGATTTACTCCATGATGAGGCCAAGGGGAAACTAAAAATGATCATGACCAACCTGATTAGGAAAACACAATCCATGAAGAGATATCCTAGAGAATTTTCAGACAGTATAAAGGGAGTTTGAGCATCTTTGGGGTTCACCAGTCATCAGGAAGTAGGCAGCACAGGAACACTTTTACAAAACTCTTTCGGAAATCATTGATTAGTCCCAGAGAGTATCTCCATTGGATAGAATACTGGACTTGGAAGACTTAGATACAAGTTCTGCCTCGAAACAGCTGTATGACCTTGGGTAAATTACTTAATGACCTTGAGCCTTGGTCAGTCCTCTAAGACTACAAATCCAATCTAATAATGGCTAGCTGCCATTTATATGGTGTTGTTGTTCAGTCATTTCAGTCGTGTTCGACTCTTTGTGATCCCATTGGGATATTCTTGGCCAAGATGCTGAAGTACTTGGCCGTTTCTTTATATCTCCAACACTTGGCACCATGTGTGGCAGATGTTACTGTTATTCAGTCATTTTAGTCTTTTCCAACTCTTTGTGATCCCATTGGGATTGTCTTGGCAAATACACCAGAATGGTTTGCCATTTCCTTCTCCAGCTCATTGTACAGATGAGAAACAGAAGAAAACAATGTTAAGTGACTTACCCAGGGTCACAAAGCTAGTATCTGAGGCTGGATTTGAACTTAGATATTCCTGACTCCAGGTCTGGCATTCTATCCACTGCACCCCCTATCAGGCCAACCACTTATATAGCACTTTAAAATTTATGAAGTGCTTTACAGTATTATCCATTTTATCCTCACAATAACCCTGTGAGGCAGGTGCTATTATTATCCCCATGTTACATATGAGGAAGCCAAGGCAGGCAGAAGTTAAGTGACTTCATTCCCCAATCGATAAATGGACAAAGGATATGAACAGACAGTTTTCAGATGTAGAAAGTAAAGCTATCTCTAATGAATAATAATGCCATATGTATATCATATATAATAATGAATAATAAAGCTACATATATGAAAAATGCTCTAAATCACTATTGATTGGAGAAATGCAAATCATCAGATTGACTAACATGACAAAACAGGAAAATGATAAATGTTGGAGAAGATGTGGGAAAATTGGAACACTAATGCATTGTTGGTGGAGCTGTGAAGTGATCCAACCATTCTAAAGAGCAATTTGGGACTATGCCCACAGGGCTATAAAACTGTACATACCTTCTGACTCAGCAATACTACTGCTAGTTCTGTATCCCAAAGAGATCATTAAGAAGGGAAAAGGACCTACATGTAGAAAAATATTTATAGCAGCTCTTTTTGTGGTGGCCTAGAATTGGACATTGAAGGGATGCCCATCAATTGGGGAATGGCTAAACAAGTTGTGGCATATGAATGTAATGGAATACTATTGTTCCATAAGAAATGATGAGCAGGAAGATTTCAGAACAACCTGGAAAGATTTACATGAACTGATGCTGAGTGAATTGAGCAGAACCAGTAAAACATTGCACATAGTAACAGCCACACTGTGCAATGACTAACTTTGATAGACTAAGTTCTTCTCAGCAATGCAAGGATCTAAGACAACTCCAAAGGACTCATGAAGGAAAATGCTATCCACATCCAGACAAATAACTATGGAGTCTGAATGCAGATCGAAGCATACTATTTTATTTTGTTTTGTTTTGTTTTGTTTTGTTTTCTTTCTTGTAGTTTTCCCCTTTTGTTCTGATTCTTTTTTCGAAACATGGCTAATGTGAAAATATGTTTAATATGATTGTACACATATAACCTATATCAAATTGCTGCCATCTTAGGGAGGAGGAAAGGAAAGGAGGGGGGGGAATTTTAGAACTCAAAATCTTATGAGAGTGAATGTTAAATATGAAAATCTAATTAATTAATTAATTAATTAATAAGAAAAAAATACGTTTAGTGACTTGTCCAGGGTCCCCCAGATAGTAAATGTCTGAGGTGAAATTTGAACTCAGGTCTTCTTGAGTCCAGGCCTAGGTCTCTGTCCATTGTGCCATCAAGCTGCCTAATGGAGATAGAGAGACAAAGGTCAGAAAAACCTAGGTTTTAATCCTATCTCTGACAAGTAACCAGCTGTAAGACCATGGACAAATCTCTTAACCCCTCTTAGCCTCCCTCAGTTTCTCTATCTGTAAAATGGGGGCAATAACACTTGTAGGGCTTTATACAGCATGGTTAAAAGGCTTAAACAAGAAAATGCAAGTAATATTCTTTGGAAACTGAAATTTTTTGTTTGTATGTCAGTTATTATGTTAAACATCTCAAGGAGAGGGATTAGATTTTCTCATCTGTTTCCCTTATCTCCCACTATGGAAGCTTAGGACTTAGTACCTCAAACAGTGGGAATTCTATTAGTGATACTAACTCTTTATGTTTAGTAGTGATGAGTCCTAGGCGACCTAGTTTCTAGGTCCTATTTACCAATGATATTGTATGACCTTGGAAAATTAATGATCACTTCTATGTCTTTTTTTTTTCTCAGCTCTTAAAAAAAAACCCCAAACAATAGAATGTCTGCTAGGTTGATTGTCCTACTTTCTAAAACAGTTGAGAATAAACAAGTTATCATAAGTTAAAGGGTTATCAACTTTTAGAAAGGCACCTTAAAGGAGGAAAATGAAGGGATTAAGCTAGTTAATCTCTTAAGCTCCTCCCTGCTGGGATATTTTATGTTTTAAGATAGAACAGTTTTGACATTCTGTATTCTTAGGTCCCTTCAAGTTCTGACATTCTATGTTATCGTATTCTGTATTTTTAGGTTCCTTCCATCTTTGATATTCTATATTCTAAAGTCCCTTCTGAGTTCTAAGGTTTCATGGTCAAGGGGCGGTCCCAACTCTAACATTTCATGTTCGAGTGTCCTTTCTACCTTTGTTGTTATGTGTTCTAAAGGTCCTTTTAGCTCTGACATTCCCATTCTAATGTCCTTCCCATGTTCTAAGGTTCATTCCATCTCTAAATCTTCTAAACATTCAAAACATTAATAATTAAGACCAGTAATGAACGTTAACATACTTTTAAAATTATCATTGTATTTTTCTTAGCAAATGTCTCTTGCTCCTGTTTTTGTTGTCTCTTACCTAATCTGCAGTCTATGCAAAGCAATTTCCCCTCTAATCATGATTAAATCCCAGTTACTAAATTTTCTAACATCACTCTGTTGTTACATCTCTCTCTTTACAGAGAAAGTGGGTGGAGAGACAGAGACAGCAACTGAGAAAGGTAGGCTAGAATGAGTTACCCAAAGACATCCACTTCTTGTCATCAACTGCATTCCTAAGCTTTAGAACACCTGCAGGATGAGAGTTTTAAACTTTGAAAGAAAGATCAATTGAATGGGGAAAAAGAAATAAAGCAAATTCTAGGTAGTTCGCTTTTTAATTGAAAGATAGATCAGGAGATTTTTTAAATCTCTCAGTCATGAATTCAGTAATTCAATTCAAATCAATCCATTGAGAGCTAGTCAAGCAGTTTAAGACTTTGTACTTGTTCAAGACTTTATGCTAAGTATGGTAGGCTACAAAGACCAACAAAAAAAGAGACCTGTCCTCAAAGAGCTTACATTCTATTGTGGGATGCAACATTTGCACAGAAAGGTAAATGCAAAGTCATTTCAAGAGAAAAAAGACTACTAAAGACCAAAAAGTGTTTCCTATAGGAGCTGGTACTGCAGATGAACCTTAAAATAAGCTCAGAATTCTAGGAGATTGAGGTGAGGAGAGAGTACATTCTAGACATGGGGTTGACCTGAACAAAGGTACAGAAACCAGAGATGAGGAGGGAATGTTTAGTTCGGGGAACAGCAGGTAGAGCCATTTGGATGGAAAAGGGAGTGAGTATAAAGGGGAATAATGTGAAATAAATCTGGAAGGCTAGACTGAAGCTAGATGGGTTATCAGCTTTTGATGCCCAAGATGGCAATTTATGGTTAGTAGAAAATCAGGATTATTTTAATAGCCCTATAAAAACTCTTCCTAATAATTAATAGCAATGTTAAGATGTTCTTAAACTCAATAGACAAAAGCCTATTTCATAAGGATCTTGTTTGTACCCAGATAGTTTAGAATAGCTCAAGGTCAGCCATTATATCATGCCCCAATTCTAAATCCATCCATGAGTGATGAGAGGACAGTAATACATTTTGGAAATTTGCTGCTGTGATAAGCTGGGGCCACCTGTAAACCAACCATCCTTCTATATGTAGCTTAGTACAAATTCATCCACATTTCAGACTAGAATGTTGGCTCAAAGTAGAGATACTACTCCTAGTGCATGGGTGTTACCCTTCTCCATCTTGTTTTGGAAGAAATACCAATATCGCTTCTTTCTTGCTTCTTTTTCTCCGTATCAGGAGGCTTGGAGACCATAGCATTGGTGGGAATCATTTTGGGAATCGTGATCGCCATTGGTATCATTGCTGGAATCGTCATTGCAGTCGTGAGGAAAATGTCGGGCAGGTACTCGTAAGTAAAATACTTATACACTGACATGATACATGAATGATTAGTGTGGTTTTCAGAAGAGCCTTGAGCTGGAGTAGAAACAACACTGGGCTTGGACTTGGAAGCGACCTGTTTTTAAATCCGGCCCCTGACATTTGGCCATAGTTATATGACCTTGGGCAAATCCCTTAGCTTCTCTGAGCCTCGGTTTTCTAATCTATAAAATAGGAACAATAAGGCCTTTAGTAATTTTCTTACCTCAGAGGGTTGATATGAAGAGAAAATCAAATTATCTATATATGATTGTTTTGAAAACTTTAAAATGCAAAGTAGATATCAGTCGTCATCATCATCATCATCCTCATTCCTATCAGTAGTGTTTGGAGGTCATCTGAACCATCTCTCTGCCTCCCACTGGGCTGTGTCTGAATTTTTTAATATTAGAAGGTATATACAATCATTCTAAGTATCTAGAAAGAGATTTAGTTCAGGAAATAGGCATTTTGTGAACGTGCATTAAATGCTTGTTCAATTTTGAGGTCCTACTTTAAACTAAAACTTGAAAGGAATTAGGGTACATCTATATGCCACTTAAATACAGAAGTGTTGTTAGGTTTGAATGAGATAATGGATATAAATGGATATTGGATAAAAAGTACTTTGCAAATCTTAAAGCGCAATATGAATGCCAGTTATTATTATTGTTATTGATCTATAGGCACCAGTCCTACAGTCTGGTGGTTACTCCATTCCCTGAGCCTTCTACTGAACTCTTCCTGAACTCAAGCATTATTTATGGAGCAGTATAGTGGTGTGCTGATGAATGTTGAAAAGTCAGGTTCTGGGGGGGGAGGGGGATGTACGCATACACACTTTAAAATTTAATCTGCA